TGAAATTGGGGTTGTTATCACTGAATGGCACTGAAAGTCCTGTAGAAGCAATCGAGTTGAACAACCCTGCCTCAAATATTTCTTCAGTCAAAAGGTTTGGCTCTTTCCATTTTCTCACCTAAACCCTGGAATTCCACAAAGCCCAGCCATTCAACTTGGTGCATATCTTTGCTTTGGGAATTTGTGGAGAACAGGACAGATCTTGCAAATCCTCCGGGCCTGTTCTGTTCTTTTTTCTTTGTTTCTTCAGGAGGGTTTTGTGTCCTTCGAGGGGGTGGCTGTGTATTTCTCCGAGGAGGAGTGGTCTATAATGCTATAAATTTCATTTCTCTTTTCCTTTGCAGGTGGTCATCGCTATGAGAATAAAGATCCCAGTGAAAAATTCCAAATGATCAGGCATGGAAGCGGAATGTACAAGGAACTAGAGATGCCACTAGAAAGTCATGAGAGAAACCAGTCAAATAGTTGGAATCAGGAAATCTCATCTTCCAGGGATGCTGAGACGCAAGGCTTTCTTGCCCAAGAAGGAAAAATAAAGGAAAGGTATATGGGAAAAAGTATAAGACTATTAAAAGACAAATTGGTGGTAAATGAACACTCTCCAACCCAAACCAAAGGAGAAGGTTATATCTGCAGAGACAACGGAAAAACACCCAATTGGACCTTCACTGTTTCCTGTGAAAATGGGTCCGTTACGTCTCAGACAGGGGAGAAGCCATATAGGTGCATAGAGTGTGGAAAGAGCTTCTGTGAAAGTACATCCCTTACAAGGCATAACAGGATCCACACAGGGAAGAAACCGCATGAATGCATGGAGTGTGGAAAGAGCTTCAGAAGAAGCAGTCATCTTATTGTCTATAAAAGGGTCCACACAGGGGAGAAGCCATATAAATGCATGGAGTGTGGAAAGAGCTTCTCTCAAAATACATCCCTTGTCAGACATAAAAATATGCACACAGGAGAAAAACGAAAGAAATCCCTGGATTGTGGAAAGAGCTTTTCTACTAGCAGGGATCTTAATTCCCATAACAGCATCCACACAGGGGAGAAGCCATATAAGTGCATGGAGTGTGGAAAGAAATTCTGTGAATATAGATCCCTTGTGAGACATAAAAGGGTCCACACAGGGGAGAAGCCATATAAATGCACTGAGTGTGGAAAGAACTTTACTAATAGTAGTCACCTTACCTCCCATAAATGGATCCACACAGGGGAGAAGCCATATAAATGCATGGAGTGTGGAAAGAGCTTTCGTACTAGGAGTGAGCTTACTTCTCATAATGGGATTCGCACAGGGGAGAAACCATATAAGTGCACGGAGTGTGGAAAGAGCTTTACTACTAGCAGTGATCTTACTTCCCATAACAGGATCCACACAATGGAGAAACCACACGAATGCATGGAGTGTGGAAAGAGTTTCATAAGAAGCAGTCATCTTATTGTCCATAAAATGATCCACACGGGGAGAAACCATATAAATGCACTGGGTGTGGAAAGACTTTTACTCAGAAGGGTCATTTGAATTCCCATAAAATGATCCACACGGGAGAAGTAATAAAAATGCATGGAGTGTGGATAGACATTCAAAACATTGAACTTACTTCCCATAAAAGAATCCACACGGGAGAAGCCATAAAAATGCATGGAGTGTGGATAGACATTCAAAACATTGAACTTACTTCCCATAAAAGAATCCACACGGGAGAAGCCATAAAAATGCATGGAGTGTGGATAGACATT